TATAATGTAAACATGTTGCATGTTAACAGGTTATAATGTAAACACGTTACATGTAAACACGTTATAATGTAAACGTGTTACATGTAAACACGTTACATGTAAAACCAACAAACTGCTGATGAATCGTATTTAAAGGAAAACAAACACCAAACAAATGAAGCTGCTTCTCATTGGATGTTCAACGTTTCCATTTATGTTTATGTACAATTCAAATCACATTTTTAACAAAATATAAAATAAATAACATGAACAATACTTAGATAACTGCATTCTGAGTGACAGGTCTTTTTTAATCTTTGTTTCTGCCTCCACAGACAATAACAAACATTTTTTTCCTCAAACTAAATTTCCCATGAAGCAATGGGTGTGGGCTTCCCATCTCAAATAATATGCATCTTATTTTTCTATATATAGATACTTTATTAGTATAGTATTATTAGTCATTAATATATATATATTTATTTTTTCACCTTGATCCCCCCCCCCATTCCTGAATCAACCAACCACACATCAGCCCTGCGGCTCCTGCAGCCAATCAGGAGCAGGCGTCTGAGAGGGCGACAGACAGTGGTGAGGTCAGAGGTCACAGAGGCAGAGGTCAGCAGCAGCAGTGTGTGTGTGTGTGTCTGTTACTATACTTATCAGGACAACTCAGTTTAAAACTTATTAACACAAGTTATTTTGTGATACATTAAAGGTTCAGTGTGTAGAATGCAGTGACCTCTAGTGGTGAAGTGTCATGTTGCAGCTCTGACTTCAAATCTCTAAAAAGTTCCAAAATAAAAGCATGAAATGTAGAAAACCTGAATGATATTCAGATTTAGATTTAAAGGGTGTTTTGCTCAAAACATGGAAAAATACAAGCTACATTTTAAATAATGGGACGTGTCCTGGTGCTTTGACACGGAACACAGTCGATTATGAAAGAATATCCAAACATGCAAAAGAATATCATCTCAAATTATCAGGAATCATGAGACGATGAATCTGAGGGAAACTTTTTCCAGTTAAATGATTCATTGGTCAAATGGGAAGAAATTATATTTATAAGTTTCTAGGAAGTATAGTAACATAAATGTTGTAAATGTGTGCATGTGTTGTTTTGTTACAAACTCCAGTGTTTTATTGCAGTGTGTGTTTTTGTGTGTGTGTGTGTGTCGGTGTGTGTGTGTGTCGGTGTGTGTGTGTGTCGGTGTGTGTGTGAGGTGTCACTGAGGACAGTGATCGGCCTCAGAATCCTCCTCCTGGAGATAAGTGGAAAAAAACTTAACATAATCAAAATGTTCCGTTAAGAGTTTTCTCTTAAAAAAAATATTTCTTGTCTGTTTGTAAATCAGTAGTCGGAGGGAAGTGACATCATCCGTGATCCAATCCTACACAGGATTCATCCAGCAAGAGACGGGCGGAGGAACGACTAAAAGAAGAAACTACGTCTGACGTAGTTTGTGGCTGGTGTGTTCCAGCTGAAAGAGGAAAGACAGCGAACGAGAAATCATCCATCTCGTTCTTCTGCTTTCCATCAAGTCCTGAAGTGAAGTCGAGGCAACTGAAAACAAGGCGATGATGCGTCAGGGCGCTTCAGTCGGCTCTGACAGCGAACGTCCAGTCCTGAGGGGCAGAGGCACATCCACAGAAGGATTCTACTCCCAGTGAAATAAATAAAACCTTCCCAAAGTTAAACCTCCACATTACAGCACAAACATCCCAAAGAAAGAGAAGGAGAGAAGACGAGGAGAACAAAAGAGAAAGACCACAGAAACTGATTTCATGATGGACAAATGTGTTCACATAATTAATTAAGTTTTAAATCTGAAAAGAAAACTGAAGCAGCAGATTTATAAACTGGATCGTTTTGTAAATGTCCTCCCTACAATCATTAATAAGCAGATTAAACCGAGTGTTGAGGGGTCAGGTATTATAAACTTGAACTCGTTTGTCTGAAGTGGTTAAAAGCTGATCGAGTGTATTTGTTCTTATTTTCATTTATATTCAATTGTCCATCTTCCTTGGCTCTTTATCTGCCTCCATATTAATATGATCCTTCAGAGAGGATCAAGCTGTTCATTAAATCTAAATGTTTGTATATTCTGTCATTAAAGCCTCACTGGATATTGAAAATATCAACATCTAAAAAACAGAAAATGTAAAGATTTTCAGATTTGTCCTTTCGAACTGAATTTAACTGTTTCCTTCACTTTTTCCATTTTTAGTATGTTCATGATTTCCATCTGACACAAGAGAAGAGACTCTGGGTAAAAAAACAGATGAAATATAGAAGAAAGGAGGCAGGAGAAGAGGAGAGGAGACGAGAGGAGACGAGAGGAGACGAGAGGAGACGAGATAGGATCTTCTTGGTGACTAAACGTTCAGGATATAAGTGAGAGGAACAAACAGAGACAAAGTTCTTGGCAGTAGTTGGAGAGATCTGAGATTCCAAGAACTGAGGAGTCTGATGGTTTTTGTAAAGTTCTGGACCAGGAGGAGTGAAATGATCTGACACCAGTCCTGAAAGGATCCGAGGTCACGTGGGACTAGGATTCAGACGAGGTACGTGAGCTGCCGTGAATCAGCGACTTGTAGATGTTGGAGGAGAGGAACCGCGGGTACGAGTCCCTGTGCATCAGCGTGTAGATCTGCAGCTGAGCGTCTTCAAACGTGTGAGGTGTCGGGTCCTGCATCTTCCTGATGATCACCTCTCGAACCCGGGCATCCAGGCTCACCTGCAGGGACAAGAAGAAGAAACATCTCAGGACGTTTCATCAAACTGACACTTAAAGGTTCAGTGTGAAGGATTTCATGTCAGTGACTCCTCCAGGTGAAGAGCACTACTGACCTCTGAGGTGACGGACGGACGGATCCCTGGAACTGTCGTTCTATAAACTGAAGAGTCACCTACCTCTTTTGGTGACAGGATGGAAATATAGTCTTCATAGATGGACCGTGCTTTCTCCTCGATGGAGCTCTTGTTGACTTCCTGTTTGAGGTCTTCACAGGCCAACCAGAACAGCATGTTCTCCTCGCTGTACTCCGTCCGCAGGAACTCTCTGAAGACGTTTCGACCCGCAGGGTTCCTCATCAGCTTGTCGAAGGACTGAGACCAGAGCCGGATCTCTTCCACTGAGGGTTTGGTGCTGCAGACGGAAACATGGCTCCTGGTTTGTTCATTTGGAATTGTCACCAAATAAAAAGAAAAGTGTTTCCTGCTTCTCCAGCATCAGAGGATGTCATTTCTAATTTGAAGGAATGTTTTCATCTGTGCTGTATTTCTAGAAACTGCTGTTTCCTCTCATTTGTCTCATCCAGAACTAGTTCAGGTTTCACTTCCTGCTTCCTTAACACACACGTTAGGTTACACACATGTTAGGTTACACACATGTTAGGTTACACACATGTTAGCTTTAGCATGGTGTGTGTGTGTGAGTGAGTGTGTGTGAGTGAGTGTGTGTGTGAGGGAGTGTGTGAGTGAG